CAACATAGCAAAGCAAATTATAGAAATTGAATATTGAGCACTGTGGAGTCATCACTGGAGCTGAGAAGGTTTTCACGCTGGTTGTCATAAGATTGTCAGCTTACTCATGCAATGGCTGTTTATGTAAGCAAAGAAGAAGACTATTCATAGAAATGCAGCAGCAACTTCTATAAGCAGGATTCCTCTACTTAGTTCACCTTGTGCACAGAAATATGGGGAGGAATCCAAGCTTCAGACTATAGCAAATCCAGTTAAAAAGAGCCACTTCACCTTTAGGACCCATTTTCATAATAGGTCAATCCGGTCTATCTGCTATGAGACATTCATGAATTTATTTGCTAAAATATAAAGGCTCACACAGCTTGGGGCTGCATTACTGATGGAGCACCTCTCCTAGCATGAATCTACCCAGTACATTTCACCCACAATCTAAGGGTCTCTTCCAGGTGCCTCCTCCAAGAGAAGCTTAGAAGGCAACAACATAGGGTAGGGCCATCTCAGTGGTGCCATTCAATTAAGGGACTATCTTTTTGACACCAGGTTAAGACCTCCTACTTCTCTCAAGCATTTGGCAGCATATGAAAATGTTTTAACTTTCCCCCCATGATTTTGTGGTTTCTTACATAGGATGGCTGTTGTGTCATCCAAATCCTGTCATATTTGGCATGGTATGTTTGGTTTTTAGAAAGAAACAAAAAGAAACAAAAGTCTGTTCTATGGTTTCCATGCTTCACCGTGGCTTCTCTGATCAGCCAAATGGTCACCATAGTTTCTATGGTGCTACCTCAGAGATCTCTGGAAAGAACAGCAGCTGCTCTAGGAGCTGCTCCAGCCATCTCATGTGGGATTGAATTTTTGGCAAGACAACAGAGGGGTTATGTGTCAAAAATAGGAGGATTGAACAAGAAGAGTGGAAATGATGCTAGCAGAGAAACCACTTAATCATCTGACAGGCACATTCTGGCTGGAAAAACAAAAAACCATGCAGGGCTGCTTATTATGGTGTGTTGATGTTTGTGTGTGTGCGGTTTTTATACTGCAATTTCTGGTTCATTCCTGTTTTCTTCTGTGCTGCTGGTATCTTACAAATGCACCCCTATGGCCATCTGGAGGAACAACTGAATCATATGGCCATGCTGAAGTAAAGCCCATCACTATGGAAGGGTCACAGCATTTGGAATCTCAGAATGTTCAAAGATACTCTTCAGTGCAAAAATAAGCAAATTTGGAGCTCCAGATCTTTCTTGGAATTTTGCTTGTATCCATGCAACGCATTCCTATGACCATTTGGAAGGATAGTGCTATGATGGGGCACACTCTTTTCCCCCCTGTTGCGCTGCTGTTATGAGCAGTAGAACCCAGTGGCCAGTTTGAATGGAGGCATAAAAGCTAGATCATGGGGGCAATGCCAAGAAGTCCTGAAAGGCAGAACAAAGGGAGTCAGTGGATATGGAACAGAAAGCAAGTTCATATAAATACTTGATTATTAATAATCAACAATTGATTCACAAAATCAAGCCCAGACTTTCTTTATGGAAAACTATTTCAGAAATTGCAGGACTATCCCAATTACATGATGATTTTAGAAGAAGATTTCAATGGAATTCTAAATCCAGTCTTGGATAGAAAGCATGGCCTAAGTCAAGGCATCACTTTACCAACAGTGCTCTTTTTAAAGGATATGAAAACCTCAAGTTAGTTGTTTAGTAATTTATAATTCAGATATACTTTTCCAGTATTTTGGCCATACATTTTACACAATTGTTTGATGAATATGTTAAACTGGTATGATGCACAGGTCTTGGTATGGTACTAAGATAGTATTTATCTATGGAAACCCCCCTGAAGAATCCTTCTATGCCTTCATTATATCCTCCCATATCTTTACCTAATCACCATTGTTGATGAGTAAAAAGATTGCAATAAGAATGTAGCAGTAAAGGTCATATGGGCTTTATCTTATCTTATCAAATCATACAAGAGGACTATCTCTCAATATATGTCACAATGATAAGTGCAGCTTTGGTATCTTTAAATGTAAAGAAAGCATTTGATAAGATCAAATGGGAGTTTTCATTTTTTTACGTTAGACGTAAAGTAAAATCACATTAAAACAGAAATGTTGAAGATTAGTATTTCAAACAAATCTAGGTCTGAGATAAATGATGAAATTAATATAAAATGAACAGATGATGATTTTAATCATGTGTTTGTATATTTTACCCCAACTACTGAAGGGCTTTTAAAAGATAATTATGTCTTACTTTTGTGAGAAATTGAAAAGGGCATTAGAAACTAGTAGGACTTTGGATAGATGGTTCTCAATAGTAAGGATAAATATTATACTTAGATTTTTGTTTCTCTTTGAAAAATGTTCCAGTATCAGTGCCAATGATCACATTCACTGGAATAAATTAACAGATTTTATGTGGAATTAAAAAAATCTTACCATCTCTGTAGAAATTTTACAGACGTTCTTTATAATGGTGCTTGGTGTTGTCCAAACGTTGTTTAGTATTGCATATCTTCAATATTACCCAGTGTCTAGTTAATAAAAATGGACTACCTCCACGTATTCTTATGCAAACTTGTTTCAACATTCTCTCAGAATACTTATCTTAGCAACATCAGAGGAATGTTAAGGAAATTCAGGATTTCTTGAACTTCAGTTCTATTATGTCAGCAATGTTGCAGGTTTGGGGCAAATATGGAAGCATATGGAAGTGTTATAAAAATTTCCTCCTTCATTTTTTTACGTAGGTCAAAATTACAGCTTGTTGGCAATTCATCATAATTATTTAAATATACATTTATGACATATAATTCAAGATGAAAAATTAACACCTTACCTGATCTAGTAGGTAAAGTGGGAACATGAAAGTCTTTAGGGTCTGAATATCTTTAATTGCAGAGCTTTTTGTCCACAGAAGACAAGAAATGTGAGTAAAGAACTAGCCATATGTAAAAAGATTATTACCAAAAGTATACAACTAAGAATGTGTTAAATTATATGTATCAGATATTTATTGCAGCAAACGACAATAATGAAATTATTTTCCATTAAAATGAGAATAGTACTACATACAGAAATTTTGGTTGGTGAATTGGCATAAATCTCCCAATGTGCCAATCTAAAGGAAAATTACTATATTGCTGGCATATTACACCACAAACACTGGCTAAGATATATATTAACATCAGTAGTCTGGTGGAATGTGAAAAAATCAATGCAGGTTTCCTACACACATGGTGGACATGTAAAAAGGAAAAATAATGAAAATCAGAAGGATCTGGGGAAAAGTGACAGTCTATTGAGCAGTATAACTGGATAGCCTATGTCTCTGAATCCTCTGTACATCTTGTTTGGATATCTTAATGGTGTACCCAGAAACAACCATGTGGAATTGGTAGGAAATCTTTTAATAGCTGCAAAATCAGTCGTAGCTGCAAAATAGAGATTACCTACAATTCCATCTATGAAGGCATAGATATGATATATTGCTCAATGCTTAAATTAATGGAATTTATTTACTTGAATGAAGATAGATAACAACAAATTTTAATAGCTCTGGATGCCATTTATTACCTATATGAAACAACAATTCAATTTGGTCATTAATAAATAGGGAGCCGTAAGCCTTTGCATTATTAGTATAATTCTTGATATGGATACTGGAATGTAATAGAGTTATAGTGAATGCTAGGATAACTTAGATAACTTAGATTGCCTGGTGACTGTTAGTTGTTCAGATGTATTGGATCAACCATGTTCATATATCTTATCTGTAACTTTAGTAATATGTTTCATTTGTCTGCTTGTACATTTATAATAAAATGAAATAACCATTACTACTACTACAACCAACAACAACAGTAATAACAAATAATAATAGGTTTGATTCCTATAGTTACATAGAAAAACAGCCTTTTGAATAGCTGTTTGAACTATTTTGGTTCTGAAGCATCCAGAAACCTGCATCTTTTAATATCTATCACAAAGTATCCAGAAAAGCAGACCTAATCAGAAGCAGCACAGTACAAAATCTCAGATAACAAATATCTGACAAGTAAAAAGGACTAAAATGTTTATGAGAAAACCACAACAAATTCTGTGTGCATCCACAATTAACCGCTTTGCATGTGATGATAATGATATCTCTTCTGCCTGCAGCATCCTTCTGAAAAAAAAAAAAAAAGTAACCCCTCCAACAAAAGTACACCTACAGGCAGCCCCTCATTTACCCTCCCAGGTCATACATAAGCACAAACCGCAAAGCATGTATTCCACAGGCATACACAAAGCATATACACATATAAATGCTAACAATTCACACAGAAAGGTACACAACCAAACAAGGCATTCACACTAAGAGACCCATCTATCCCCTCTTCTTAAGGCTTCAAAGATTAAACAACTCCATGCTGGCAATATAATGGATGATGCCATCAAGAAAGAAAGGGGAGGGGAAAAACCAGAAATGAGCTGGCCTCACTGACTGCTGTTCATCCTCTGAGGACTGATAGACTGCCTTAGCTCAGAAAATTATGACATGAGCTCTCCAGCAAATAGAGTGAACCAAGGGTCTGCGCATGTGCTGGATGTTGAGTACATCAGTCTTGCCCAGAACGAACTTCTCGCGTGGAAAAGAGTTTACTATGATGGGCTACCTCAGGCCTGTGTCCACAGATAGTCCTGCTTAAAAACAACACTTTTCCTTCGTGCAAGGTGAACACACCCATTTCCCATAAGATGATATTCTGCATATGCACTCAGTGTGTGCATATACTTTATCAGTGACAAAGCCCGTGCCCAACAGGAGTTCCATGCAGTAGCAGCTACCAACTGCCACCATCAAAGAAACACAATGAAGATTAATGTTTATAATGCAGGTAGGAGAGTGGGGGAGAAGGTGGTGGTGGCAGGGCAGGGCAGGGCAGGGCAGGGCATGGAAAGCCCTTGTAGAATAGGGAAATCTCTTATCATCAGTCCAACATCTCTTTGGCCCTTTTGAAGGCCAAAGAGTTGGCCTTGTGTTGATCACTCAACACAAGAAGTCATGTGGTTTCTTGCACAGGATGGTGTGTAGTTTTGTCTCAACTGTGTTGTGGTATGTTTGGGTTTGGGTTTTATAATCCATAATAACAAACAATGATCTGTTCTATGGTTTCCATGCTTCACCATGGTATTTCTAGTCATCCAGACCTGGCATCATGGTTCCCATGGTCCTGGTATGCAGCGACCACAGAGTCTCCTGGAAAGAGTGGCAACTGCTTCTCTAGCCATCCAGCATGGAATTGAATTTTAGGCATGGTGGCTAATGAGATCTGTGCCCACAGTGGCAGGATTGAGTTAGGAGGGCAAAATCACAGTAAAAACTGCTTGTCCTTCTGACAGGCAAATTAAGACCAAAAAACCATGCACCATGGAAACAATGCAGGGTTGCTTGTCACTATGTGTTAACCAAACTGTAATCTCAAGGGGAGTTCTCCAAAGTGGGTATTGGTAAGCATGTAAATTATTTCATTTAATTTGCCCCAACTATTTTTTATTTATAATTTCATTTATAGCCCTTAGGGCTCTCTGGGTGGTTTACAGAAGAAAAGTAAATAACAAAGATTAAAAACACTACAAATAGTAAAAGCAATTGAAACCAAATATACAACACTGACAACTCCTAGTGATTAAAATTAATATACAGCATAAATAGTTCATAAAAACAAGATTAAAATCCATCTATCTATTAAAATACCTGGAAAATACAAAAGTCTTTACTTGGTGCTGGAAGAAAGCATTGACTGTCAGGTACACTCCTTGGGGAAGCCAGTGCCTCAAGACCAGAGTGAAAGCCTGCAGTCACTTTTGGTTAGATGCACTCCAATGAGAAAGCCCTCTTCCTTGTTGCCATTTCTAAGCCTCCCTCAGAGAAGGCACCCCAAAACTAGTTCTAGAGAATGAACATTGAGTAGTTCCCTGCAGGGAGGGGCTTTCTCAGCACAATTAATAGTTAACTCTTGCAAGTATTTTCACTTTAAGATGGTTCTGAAAACCTCCTAGTTATTTTCAGTGCCTATTCATACTGAACCAATACATTTCAATATTGGTATCCTTTTGGCTGCCTTTCTTCTTGGCGTACCTCCTCCATTCTGAAGGATCAGATTTGCATTTAGAGATGCAAATCAGACCTGGTATTGCCATTAGAGACCTAGTGGCTTCTGTGGCATCTAGTCTCTTGTACCAGCTTTCACTGGGGTATCATGTTGTTCCTTCTGGATACAGGCTTTCTAGGCATGGTGTCAAATATCCTTTCAGATGACAGTAATGCATAGTGCACACAGCTGACTCTTTTTTAAACTCGCATTTAAAAACCAAGTTGAATTACGTTGTGTTTTTATGTGCCATCAAGATGTATCCAACTTGCAGCAACCCTATGAATGAATGTCCTCCAATATATCCTATCCTCACAGCCCTGCTCAGCTCATCTGAATTAAACCAGTACAATAAAGGATATTGTATATGAAAATGTCTATTATGTAGTCTATTTTTTCCTTCCCTCAACAAATGCTGTCCTTCTTATACAACCACTGGAACATGGTAGCTAGAACTTTTAACATTCCTTTAGTGTAAGTATTACATTGGTATTAATGGTACTGGTTATTGTTAACTGACCCACTGGTGTGTCTTTTGCTTATTTAAATTCTGTGTTTTAAATTAAATGTGATGGGAGTTTATATTGTAAAATAATTATGGCTACTGTATTTGTGTGAGCTGTTTTAAGCACAATGTATTGAGAAAAATGCAATATACAGATACATTGACCATGACTACTATAAGACTCCTTCACGGATCACTGCCTTGTCATGGCGAAGGGGCTTGCGTAGCTCAATGAAGCTATGAGCTATGCCGTGCAGGGTCACCCAAGACAGACAGGTCATAGCAGAGAGCTCTGACAAAACGTGATCCACTGGAGAAGGAAATGGCAATCCACTCCAGTATCTTTGCCATGAAAACCCCATGGACAGTACCAAAAGGCAAACAGATATGACGCTGGAAGATGAGCCCCTCAGGTCGGAAGGTGTCCTATATGCTACTGGGGAAGAGCAGAGGGCTAGTACTAGTAGCGTCAGAAAGAATGAAGCGAATGGATCAAAGCCGAAAGGACACTCAGTAGCAGATGTATCTGGTGATGAAAGGAGAGTCCAATGCTGTAAAGATCTATACTCCACAGGAACCTGGAATGTAAGATCCATGAATCAAGGCAAGCTGGATGTGGTCAAACAAGAGATGACAAGACTGAACACAGACATCTTAGGAATCAGTGAACTAAAATGGACAGGAATGGGTGAATTTAATTCAGATGACCATCAGGTATACTACTGCGGGCAAGAATCCCTCAGAAGAAATGGAGTAGCCTTCATAGTCAATAAAAGAGTAGGAAAAGCAGTACTGGGATACAATCTCCAAAATGACAGAATGATCTCAGTTTGAATTCAAGGCAAACCATTCAACATCACAATAGTCCAAGTCTATGCCCCAACCACTGGTGCTGAAGAGGCTGAAATTGAGCAGTTCTATGAAGGCCTACAACAACTTCTAGAATTAACTCCAAAAAATGATGTCCTAATCATCATGGGGGATTGGAATGCTAAAGTCGGAAGCCAAAAGATAATCAGAATAACAGGCAAGTTTGGCCTTAGAGTACAAAATGAAGCAGGGCACAGGCTGGTATAATTTTGTCAAGAGAATACAATGGTCACATCACCAGACGGTCAACACAGAAATCAGATTGACTATGTGCTCTGCAGCCAAAGATGGAGAAGCTCTATACAGTCAGTAAAAACTAGACCCGGAGCTGACTGTGGCTCAGATCATGAGCTTCTGGTTGCAAAATTTAGGCTTAAGTTGAAGAAAGTAGGGAAAAGCACTAGGCCACTCAGGTATGACCTAAATCATATCTCTGATGAATATACAGTAGAGGTGACAAATAGATTTAAGGAATTAGATCTGATAGACAGAGTGCCTGAAGAACTATGGATGGAGGTTCGCAACATTGTACAAGAGGCAGCAACTAAAACCATCCCAAAGAAAAAGAAATGCTAGAAAGCAAAATGGCTGTCTGAGGAAGCTTTACACATAGCTGAGAAAAGAAGGGAAGAGAAAGGCAAGGGAGAAAGAGAAAGATACAAACAATTGAATGCAGAATTCCAGAGAACAGCTAAAAGAGATAAGAATGCCTTATTAAATGAACAGTGCAAAGAAATAGAAGAAAACAATAGAATAGGGAGGACCAAGATCTCTTCAAGAAAATTGGAGATATAAAGGGAACATTTCATGCAAAGATGGGCATGATAAAGGACCAAAATGGCAGGGACCTAAGACAGGCAAAAGAGATTAAGAAGAGGTGGCAAGATTACAAAGAAGAACTATACAAGAAAATGATTAACATCCCTGACAACCTGATGGGGTGGTCACTGACCTCGAGCCAGACATCCTGGAATGTGAAGTCAAATGGGCCTTAGGAAGTCTGAGCAACAACAAAGCTAATGGAGGCGACAGTATTCCAGTTGAGCTATTCAAAATCCTAAAAGACGATGCAGTAAAAGTGCTACACTCAATATGCCAGCAAAATTGAAAAACTCAACAGTGGTCGCAGGACTGGAAAAGGTCAGTTTACATTCCAATCCCAAAGAAGGGCAAAGCCAAAGAATGTTCAAACTACCACACCATTGCACTCATTTCACATGCTAGCAAAGTTATGCTCAAAATTCTACAAGCTAGGCTCCAGCAGTTATGTGGACCGAGAGCTACCAGAAGTACAGGCAGGATTTCGAAGAGGGAGAGGAACTAGAGATAAAATTGCCAACATATGCTGGATCATGGAGAAAGCTAGGGTGTTTCAGAAAAACATCTACTTCTGCTCCATTGACTATGCCAACAACTTTGATTGTGTGGATCACAACAAATTGTGGCAAGTTCTTAAAGAGATGGGAGTACCAGACCATCTTATTTGTCTCTTGAGAAACCTATATGCGGGTCAAGAAGCAACAGTGAGAACTGGACACAGAACCACTGATTGGTTCAAAATTGAGAAAGGAGTTTGGCAAGGCTGTAGTGACAGATTTTATTTTAATGGAGGTAGTGACAGATTTTATTTTCCTGGGCTCCAAGATCACCGCAGACGGGGACTGCAGCCAAGAAATTAAAAGACACTTGCTCCTTGGGAGGAAAGCTATGGCAAATCTAGATAGCATACTAGAAAGCAGAGACATCACCCTGCCAACAAAAGTGTATGTAGTCAAGGCCATGGTTTTCCCAGTTGCAATGTATGGCTGTGAAAGCTGGACCATAAGGAAGGCTGAGCGCAAAAGGATTGAGACCTTTGAATTGTGGTGCTGGAGGAGACTCCTGCTAGTCCCTTGGATCGCAAGGCAATCAAACCGGTCAGTCCTAGAGATCAACCCTGACTGCTCTTTAGAATGCCAGATCCTGAAGATGAAACTCAAATACTCTGGCCACCTAATGAGAAGGAAGGACTCCCTGGAGAAGAGTCTAATGCTGGGAACAATAGATGGCAAAAGAAGAACGCGATGGCAGAGGATGAGAGGATGGAGTCACTGAAGCAGTTGGTATGAGCTTAAGTGGACTCCAGGAGATGGTGGAGGACAGGAAGGCCTGGAGGAATGTTGTCCATGTGGTCACGATGGGTTGGACACGACTTCGTGACTAACAATAACAACAACGATAAGTCTCTCTTCCACCCTTCTAGCACACTAAAACCAGAACACCTAAACTATACAAGATATGGTGAAAACAATGCAAACAATGGGAAAGAAGGGGGTTGAGACTTATTGAGTAAGGGGCCAGTAAGCAAAGTTGCCCTGCTGTCTCTAATCTAGAAGCCAAGCCCAACCCACTGGAGGACTGAACAGGATATGAGAGTTGGAGTTACCCCTGAATATGGATTGCATTTGCCACCTCTCAAGACATAGCTACAGCTCTTGATTTAAGGGCCTAGGGACTCTGACTGCCTCAGAGAAGCTGAAAAATGCAGCCAGTATCCATTCCTCGACATCCAGTGGACAGACTGCAGGGGGTAAAGCAAGGGGGTTTTTTGCCTTGATATGCCTGCCAGAAGGTCGTGTGGTTTCTGTGCTACTGTGGTTTTCACCCTCTTTGCTCAGTTGCCCCACTGTTGGCACCATGGTTACTATAAAAATGGGCATTCCCATAACAACCTGAGGAATTAGACTAACTCAAGTGCAATACTGATGCAGAGTCTGTGAACAATTGTTAACCATGGATTAAGCTTCCTTTCCAAAGTTATTCCTGTATGCACAAAATTTACAACCATTACCATAGTATTTACAACTGTTACTGTAAATATATTTCCTGTGAGTAATATTGTAAACCTAAGTAAGTCACCCTGCGTTCAGCAAAAATTAGTGGTATGATAAATTTTAAAGTGCAGGGCCCCATCATGACTGTCCCCAGATGAAATTCAGACAGCTTTGTTGACACATTCAAATAAATCAGTTTTACCTCCACTAGAAACAAGTTTGTCATAAAGCTACTGGGTCTTAAGTGACAATTCATCACCAAGTCAGCCCTAACTATTTTGCATTACAACATGGAATGATATATTATTACTGGGAAGATACACAGCCTGTCTCCCACCTGCTGCTGTGAGAAGTTCAGGTAATCCCAGGAGGCACAGAGAATTCTTGGGAAGGTAAATGATATCAGTATCTCTCTTAACATGACGGTGCTGGCACAGATTCCTATGAACTCTGGCTCCACTACACCACCACTGGATCTTACTCTCTAGTAAGTGTGTTTGGGATTTCAGGATAAGATTCTTTTCTTAAAGACATGCAGTGAATCGGACACATTCTGTGGTACATTCTGTAGGAAAATGGGTTAGTCTTTTACCTTTTGAGAAGGTGTAGACACATTTTTTTAATCAAAAATATAATACAACAGAAGTTAATGGATATAATGGAGGTATGTTTACCTTTGAAAATTTAATTTGTGGAAATTTAATTTGTGGATTAAAAGCATCTTAATATGTTATGTAGTGAATTGTGATCTGGTATTATATATTTGAATGTCATTTAACCAGATCACATGTTGTGAGGGGCTTACTCTGATTTGATGAGTGATGCACAGAAATGCTTTGGACTTATTCAGCTGGCATCTTCTTTTTACTTTCCAAGATAAAGTTATAAAATTAAAACAAATTAAAAGATGTAAGGTAAATTGCTTGTTTTCAAGCAAATTGTGCATGGAACTTGAACTGCATGGAATTAGGTGAACTGCATCTATTACAACCAACTACATGAATATGAACTAAACATATATTAGCTGAATTAATGTAAATTAAACTATTGCAAATTTTCTGGTAAAATACTCCAGCTTGGATGCAACGCAGGCATATTTTGAGTAGTTTCACTGAAAACAGTGGAATTTAAATTACACATGACTGAAGATTAATTGATTTCAATGGGGCTCTTCTAAGTATGAATAAGTGTGGATCAAACCCTTTGACTACTGCCCCATTCAGTATTATTTTATTTTGACCCACTTATTTTAGTGGGCTTAAGTATGCTTAATTCTGTATTGAACTGCAGCCACTTAATTTATTTCAACTTACTGTAATTTTTTAAACTTACCCTTCATAATATATTCCATGCTTTTCATTAAAGAAAAATGTTGCTTGTGCTATCTAATTAATATTACTTCAATTTCAAGCAGCATGACTTGGGAACTCAGAAATGCAGTTATGTCATAATAGGATAGTTTTGCTATGGCTGCTATGGCCACAACTTGAAGCTGACCCTGTAATTCATTGTTTATCATTAAGGATTCCCAGAGGAACTCATTTACATTATGGGTGTCAAATGATGGTGCCAGCAACAACCACAACAGCAATAGCAGCAGCAACAAAGTGATCAAATTGGATCATATTATATTACATCCATGATTCTTATTGTAGCACCATAAATTATGCCCATATTTTCATCCTATGATTTATTAAAACAAAGCTATGCTGCATTTCCGACTTAAAGTCAGCAACTGAAAGGGCATAACCTACTCAAAACAACATAAATTACAACAGTGTAAACCAACTAAAATAATCACAAGAGAAATGTAAAGCAAGTTTTAAAAATCTATTATTATTACTACTGCTACTATCATCATCATCATCATCGTCATCTAGTTTCCACCATTCTGTGGGTGGTTTACAACAGCCCAAGTATGATGAGAGATAGAGTTAGGGAAAGATTCCTACCTGAAACTCAGGAAAGCCACTGACATTCACTGCCAAATAGATAGTAACAAGCAACACCAACCAGTGCTTTGACTCAGCCTAAGGCAGATTCCTCTGACCTACCCCATATCTATAGACCTAACTCCAACGTTAGCCTTTCGAAATATCTAAAAGGCCAAATCCAGTCATTTTCAGCCAATACGAAGTTCAGGCAACTTGAAGGACAGGGAGTTCTTCATTTTTCCAGTCAAAGGTGTGGGGTACCATGAAAGGGAAGGCAGAGGCTCCAAGTGCTCCCAGTCTCAGTAGAAGGCAGGTGCTGAGCAGCTCCTTCCTTGAAGATATGGACCCAACAAGAGAAAAGGTCCAGATTGCCTTTAAAGGTAACATAATCTCACACTATGAATGAATGGGGAAAGGATGGACGAAGGGCTATGTAGCTAATCAAGCAGATGCACTCAAAATAAAATCACATCATTAAAAAAAGGATAAGGGCTTGTATCCAGTGCTGGCTGGTGGATATATGCCGGCAGAACAGGGCTTCCCTCACCTCCCCTTCAGTCCCCCACACTTTCTGATATGTTCCCTGGAGGGTTGGAAGATCCGTCGGAGCACATTTAGACTTCCATAGGAAAGGGTGGTAGACAATAACTGTTCCCATCTCCAAAGTGCTCATGGATGTCTTGGTCCCCACTGGATGCAGTCTATTTTTATTTTAAAAGGTTCAAAGAAACAAATGTGAAAGCAAAGGGTGGGGGAATAAATGCATTATTGTCTATTTTTCAGGGTTGTTTATTTGGCTACAGGAAGAATGAAGCAAAAGTTGAGAACTAAATATTCTGAGTGGTCATTTTCAGAGCATATTAACCTCCCTGGAAAGAAAAGTCAGATTTTTCTTGGCCTGCATCCCATTACAAGCAATTTAATACTCTGACATCTGACCTACATGGATTTAGGCATCCATGTATTCCTGAATGAAATACATTTATAGGAGAGTAAAGTGACTTGTTAGCATGGATTTCAAAGCTTATTCCAGATTGACTTGCACAAGTGCTCTTTGTTTGCTTTGCTAATGAATACATAATAGACTAGAACCTGCCTTTCCTAGCCGACTTTGACCTTTTTAGGCTCACAACAGTTATGTAAAAATATCTACCAGTAACCCCTATTCCCCCCCACACACACTCACCTTTCACAGGATTAAGCATGCTTACTGAAACCCCAAATTGCTTGTTTAACTCACATGGAAAAGCATATCTGCATCTTCTTTCTGATTAAAGTGTCAGAAAAATTCCACTTCAGTGGTGTGTAAAATTTGTATAAACTCCATCCCCAAAACAACATTATCATTGTAATACTCAGACTGCAAAAAGATTGACTGCCTCTCTCGCCTTTCCTCGCTCTTCTTACTTTCTTTTTCTTTTTACATCTAATTTTCTGTTATGGAAAGAGCTATAATTGAGAAATATATTTCTTTGACTGTGTTATTAGTTATACTGTGAGCACTGTCTTTTTTAATACAGTTAACTTCTATGTGAAACAATATGGTATATATTCACATTATGGTAAAAATCTGTGCTTATGTGGGCAAGAACATACCAAGAAATTTATACAAATTTGTCAACAGTAATTATAAATGAGCTCCTAGATACAATGCAATGGATAAGTTTGAAAAACACATTTTAAGAAGCACTTAAAGTTCTGCTTATTTATATGGAAAAAAGCAGCCCGTCTTTGGATTATAAATGCAGCCTCTCTGCTCAACCAACTGTTTCTTGTTTATGACAAAGAAGTAAATAATCCATTGATCTGACAGCAGGGCACCTGCCTTACCAACCAATTCTGGATCGGTGGTCCCTGAACCCTCATTATTTTTCCTCAATTAAAGTTCATAGTCTCCTAAAGTCTGTGCTGAGCAGATGTACAACTGTTCTTGACTGCTGAACACAGAAGAATCACACATTTAGAAACTACTGCCATTTCATAAACCCTAGAAGTGCCATCAGTTGTTGATTTGCGGGAGGGGGGTAAGAAAAGCTGCAAACAGTATGTCTCTTTTATAGGATGCTTCAGGAGCACACAGCTTAAAAGAATATTTGAGTTCAGGATGGCATCAAATAAGCAGTTTCTTATATGGTATAGATACTCGTATATAGCAAATAACCAGTACACATTTGTTTAAAAATTAGTTGGGGCATAATGCAATGAATGTGATTTATATTTACTTAACAACAGACCAAATTTGAGAAATTAATCCAATATAAGGTATATAAGCATTTGTTTTTCCTCCTTTGAAAACAGGACGAGCCAGGAGAAATCACCAATAGAGTTTGCTTTTTCCAAATACAATCCAATAATTCTTTCACTGCAAAAATAAAGGGGGTGGAAACCTAACCAAAGGATTCCACATCTCACATTTCTTTTGCTAATGAGTAACAAAAGCCTAGCTCTTATAACATGAAAATATTTGGTATCACTTTGAAATTCCTATCCAGTTGTTTAATAGTGAGAAGCTGGTCAACAGAAAGAGACAGAGCTGCAGCTTCACCATTCTGCCATGTACCAAGAAATGCCCATTTCTAGTTTGACAGACTTTGTGTGAGTTCAATAGGATGAATGACCAAATAAAATCATGGAAGGGCAGAAGGGTTAAAGTTCACTTACAAGACATTTTTCTGTACTGCAGTTCTGTCTGTGCGGAATGCAGGGTACAAATGGAAGCAGATGCAAGTCTTAGGTCAGAACATGCAGTTAAAACTACACTGGTCCCACCTGCCATCTTTTTTGTTCTTGCCTCCCCCTGGTGAGAACAAGTCGCCGTTTCTTGCTGCAGTGAGTGTGCACTGCAGTTTGACCTCAGGCTTCAGATTCGACAGGAGGAAGAAAATAATTTAAAATATTACTGCTTATTAAAATAATATTTAATGACTAGAGAACATTATTTCCCCACAGTGCTCTAAAGCAGATACTGCCAATGAGGCTGATACTGCCAACTCTCTGGCACATTAAGCATAGTTTATATTGGTACTGGAACTGTCTGCATTGTTACCATCCTTTCAATATCATACAGTGGGATTCACAAAAAGAGAACAATTCAGACAAGACACAATGGGGTGGTGGAGGTGATGGTGGAGAGCGCATTTAAGGACTACACGTGGCAAATGAATGGATGAGCTCAGAAATGCCCATGCCTGCACAACTAACCATCCAATCAAGTTATCAACATTATTTTGAGATTAAGAATGAACATTTTTGTTCTTTCGCCAACTGAAGGTTCTTCTTTTGGCTACTTTTGTAGTAAGCAATCCAATCTAATTAAATCTTGATTGTTAAAATTGTCACATGAAATGGATGATTTAGTCATTGTAATAGTCAGGGTAAAACAAAGTACCTTTATACAGGTGGTGGCATTAATATTTTACAGGATGAAGAAATCGCTTAGTACCAATGGTCAGCTACAATTTGAGGTGAAGGCATTAAAAGTTTTTACAAGCTACATGGTTTTTAGCTCAAATATGCATCTAGTGTCTGGTTTGAGGCCACATGTGTGGCAACGGTCAGACAAAGCTTGCACTTGTGCAACAGGACTTCTCCATCTGTTCCTTTCCCCCAGATCTGCTCTAGGATTCCTCCAATTCCCCAGAGCAAAATTTGGGATATAGAAGTGGACTATGGGGGAAAGGATAACCTGTTCTGCTAGCCATTTTCCTTCACTGGTGGAACATCATCATCAAATAAAACCCTTGGATTTTAAAGCAGCAGGTGCTTCTCATTGTTACAATATATCAAGAAATGTTTTGTAACCATGACATAGTCTACATTTTTAACAAAAGGTTTCTCCTGGCATTGATTTCAAGGATATTTCACCAATACTTTAAAAAAAACAACTTTCACTATGAAGTTTCCTTATCTTTTTTGGGGGGAGGGGGGTGAATATCCTGTATTGCAGAGATAATGTAGGAAGAATCAAATATCAGTAACAAATTTCAGTTAACACTGGCAGCATCTGCAACATTATTAGCTTCTCTTTGCCTGTTTCTCTGGGTGTTCGATCTGGCCAGACCATGTACAATAGCAAAACCAAAAAGCAAAATCCTGGACACACGTAGATAGAACATGAATCCCAGCATTACAATTGCACCTATCCTCTGCAAATGACTAATACTTAAACAAGTTTACATGCAACAGCATGTATGTAATCAACATTACATACATA